TATAAAACTCAGAGTAATTTGCATTTAATGAATAGCACACAGACTGTACAGTCCGAATGAACAAACAGAAACATGCTGACTCTTTAATATAACATGCCTTCTCTTTCAATACTTTCCATCTCTACTGGGTACCTCTTACATTAATTTTTTCACCCAGCCTTTTCTGTAGAAAACCATTCCCTTTTTCTAAGAGTATCCTGGGACTGTGCAGCTTGCCCAAGGCCACACAGGCTGGCTCTTCATCCAGGAGGCATGGTGGGGAATCAAACCACCGACCTTTGGCTCCACAGCTAGATATCTAAATCACTGAACTATCCAGCCAGCTATATAGAAGGATATAGATACAGATTTTTATCTTTATTTTCAATTCTTTTAAAACAACTTTCCTTATGTAAAGAATGGGCTTAATGTGAGTTGAGTGTCTTATTTTTCTGGCTGGAGAATGCAAACTGAAACAGACTAGCATTATTAACTTCCACATTAAACCTATGACCCAGTATAGCTATCTACATATATTACTGAGTTCTACTTCATTCAATGAAGCTTGCATCCATTTAAGTGTGTGTGGAATCTTGGCCTTAAGACATATACTTAAATGTCTCGTTTTGGAGTCCCCTGGTTTGTAAGAACCATTTAATCTTACAAATATTTATGCCTGTATGTGTGTTTATCTCTCAAGTTGTCCCAAACAGTAACAATCCGAAACATTACATTTGCATGGGTACTACTTGAGATCTCAGCCTAAATAACTAGGTGAATTGTATCCCCACTGGATACAATTCTTGTAGGATTCTGTAGCAATCTTACAGAAGTGGTAAGAGCTAGAAATACAAAATAACCCCTAGATACAGTGGGGTCTTGACTTGAGAACTTAATCCACATTGGAAGGCGGTTCTCAAGTCAAAAAGTTCTCAGGTCAAATCTGCATTTCCCATAGGAATGCATTGAAAACCATTTGATCCGTATCTGCTCTTTTCCGTCCATAGAAACTAATGGGAAGCTGCTATTCCGCCTTCGACCACTAGAGGGGGATATTTTGTTTCTTTTTTTTCTTAGGTCAAGAAAGGTTCAGGAAAGGCAGGGAAAATACAGTCCAGGCAGTACAGTACCAGGCAGTCTGAAGACTGTCTCCCAATCCACTCTCTAAACGCTGGGAGGAGTGAGGAAGCAGACAGGCACCCTTTTCACTGGCCAACAGTTAACTGAAAGTTCAAATTTTGCACTTTCCCTGCCTCCCACATGGGTTTTTTTCAGTTTGTAACTCAAATCTAAGTATGTAAGTCAAGTCAATATTTTCCTATGAGAGCGGTTCTTAAGTCAAAATGTTCTTAACTCAAGCCGTTCTTAAGTCAAGACCCCACTGTACTGCTGATTTCTGGACTTAAATTGCTGCAGAAGTATTATCTTAAATGGCTATGATGGCTAGGGTCTGGGATTTGTTGTCCAAGGATTCCTCTTCTGTGAGTCTTAAGCTGAGGTGTGGGAAGAAAAAAAAGAGAAGAGACCAATGTGAAAGAAACAAGCATTCAGATAAGGGAAGGAGACATATAGAAGACTGGGTTACAACTAACCATCTTCTAAACCAGACCCAGATTGCTAGAAATCTATCAGATGATGCAAAATCTTGGTTGTAGCAAATAAACTGCTAGATGGCTGCCGTTACAGACATGAAAAATCTCTCACTTGATTTTGCAGCATTCCTCTGAATCCTCCATCATTTTCTCCCTGTCCTTGGGGTTATAAGACTTTTATCATAAGCCTGTCTTTTTCTTTATGCATGGAGATTTATACAAATGTTTATGCATTTCTCCTGTTGGCATTTTGAAATGAGTGTTTTTGTGCATACTTTATTTCTCAAATGTGTTCTGTAAGCTTTGAATATGTGTAAATTCTTGAGGAAAGGTGCATTTCTTCTCACACGAATCTTGGGAGGCATGAAAATGTCACTTTCCTTAAGTCTGTCTAGTGGAATGATTTTTGTCTCTTCATCCATAGCTACTGAATTGGTTGACGTTTACAGGATGCCGTGCATTGTTTTCATGGAAGAGTTGGGAATAAAGGGAAACGGTTGCAGAACATTTTCTTCCATCCAAAACCTGCATTGGGCTGGATTGCATTGGGGCTCATTTGCCTTTCCTTCCTTCCTGTTTGCCAGCATGAATTCTGTCAAAAAACAAAGAGATTGCTTAGTTTGTTCATACCGTATGTTCATTTTTAAAGGTCAGGTTTTGCAAAAGGTGTTCTGTTTGTCGATTATGCTACTTCAAGAGAAATATAGTGCCTTGCTTCTTAAACTAAACATTGTGCTGTGTCTGTTTGTCTTCTCATTTACTTAAGAGTTACATGCCACCAGTAGTTCTATGTGGAAAAGTTTCATCACTGTTTATCTTCATTCATCAAATCAAAACCCACCAAGAGTTGTAGTATCAATTCAAACTCTACTTAGAGCCATCACTAGTAGTTCTTTAATGCTAATCACCTTCAGGCACCCATTTAATGAGTCTCATGCACACAGAGAGAAGGACAGGGACAGGTTCTCCAAGACTGTATAATGGAGCATTCTCACATACCCAGAGGAGTTGTGCTACAAACTGAGACTGATCCATATAAACAGAACCATTCTTGAATATAGCTGTACATGCAGATCTCCCTTCTGTGATCCAATATGATTATGAAAGGCAAAGTCTGCCAGTATCCCCTTCATACATAAAGTCATAAAGGAAAGGTGGGTGGAGAGGTGTCGGGTATGGAAAGGTATAAAATTTTCCATAACGGAGGGGTTGGGGCCGCCACCCACAGCCTGTGTTCTGTTGGTGTGCTGCCCTGTTGCTTTACTCAGCTGAATAAAAGAACAGCTAAAGGATCTCCTCTTTGTATTCTCGAAGGCTTTCATGGCTGGGATCCAATGGCTGTTGCAGGTTTTCTGGGCTGTTTGGCCATGTTCTGGAAGTTTTTCTTCCTAACGTTTCACCAGTCTCTGTGGCCGGCATTTTCAGAGGACAGGGGTGCATTGTTGTGATAAGGGGGGAGATGATCTGTCACTGTTGTTGATGGGCATTGTTAGCTATCAATAAGGGGGGAGAGCATCTCTCCCTTATCACAACAATATAACTAACTAGCTAACTAACTAACTAACTAACTAACTAGCTAGCTAGCTAGCTAGCTAGCTAGCTAGCTAGCTAGCTAGCTAGCTAGCTAGCTAGCTAGCTAGCTAGCTAGCTAGCTAGCTAGCTAGCTAGCTAGCTAGCTAGCTAGCTAGCTAGCTAGCTAGCTAGCTAGCTAGCTAGCTAGCTAGCTAGCTAGCTAGCTAGCTAGCTAGCTAGCTAGCTAGCTAGCTAGCTAGCTAGCTAGCTAGCTAGCTAGCTAGCTAGCTAGCTAGCTAGCTAGCTAGCTAGCTAGTTAGTTAGTTAGTTAGTTAGTTCATTGTGATAAGGGAGAGATGCTCTCCCCCCTTATTGATAGCTAACAATGCCCATCAACAACAGTGACAGATCATCTCCCCCCTTATCACAACAATGCACCCCTGTCCTCTGAAAATGCCGGCCACAGAGACTGGTGAAACGTTAGGAAGAAAAAACAGCCCAGAAAATCAACAACAACAATCTCTTCTCTTATTGATTGGCAAACCCCTGAGAAAGACAAAGGAAAGAGCGTTCAGTTAGCGGGACCCAATATGAGGTACTTCATCAGATTTGCAGAAGGACAGTCTAAGTTCTCCTGCAAACTGATATGGGAAGCAAGGTGCCACTCCCGCATTACACAGTGCACTCCTCACATCTCATGTGCCTTCATGCTGGCAACAGCACAAAGAGGGAGAGAGGGAGGGAAGCAAAAGTTACAGTACACACAAAGCTGGCTGTTTCCTAAATACCTAACTCCAAGAAGTCTTCAGAGTGAAGATAACAGCATTGAGCTGTGCACAGGTGATTTACTTGCTCACTCTTCCCACAGTACCTTGGCTCTAAAGACCCCTTGGAGCCAGGCAGTTGGAAAACATTCAGTTGGGAAAGCTGGGCTTAGCAGCTGCAGCTAACCACAAAAGAAGTGAGTCTCCTGAGGCAGGATTGGCAACCCTGTTGCTTCTGGCATTCTACTTGCCCATAGTAACAATCTATGGGTGACAGTGGCCCTTCATATGCAACAGTTAAACATTGGGTTGTCAATTTTAAAACTGGTCGTTTCAGTGTTGAAAGTGAGAAACCCAGCGGAAGGCCTGTTTCTGTCTCTGTACCTGCAAATGTGAAAGGCCTCCATGACATGATCATGGAGGCCCACCCAGTATCAGCGAAAAGTATTGCTATATATCTGAGAATATCATGTGAGAGAGTTGGTGCCATTATCCACAATGACTTGGAAATGAGAAAGCTGGCAGCAAAGTGGATCCCCAAACCTTTGACACCCAAACAAAAGAGGAAACATGTGGAGTCATCAGTGGCTGTTTTGGAACATTTTGCAAGAAATGAGTCAGATTTCCTGGGCCAACTTGTGATGAGACATGGATCTACTGTTATGATCCTGAGACAAAGGAACAGTCTAAGGAATGGAGGCACAGTGGTTCCCCCAGGCCAAAGAAGTTCTGAGTGCAAAGATTGGTGCAGAAGCAAATGGCAACAGTTTTTTTGGATAAGAAGGGAGTTCTGCTAGTGGACTACCTCCAACGGGGTTCAACCATCAATGCAAAATATTACTGTGCTTTATTGATGAAGCTGAGGCAAAACATCAAGGGAAAATGTCGAGGAAAGCTCTTCAAAGGTGTCATCCTGTTGCATGACAATGCCTCGTCACACACTGCAGGTGAAACAATGGCAAAACTGATGTCCTTAGGCTTTCAAGTGATGCCCCATCCACCCTATTCTCCCGACCTGGCTCCTTCTGACTATCTATTCCCCCAACTCAAAAAACACCTAAAAGGACAATGATTTGGGAGTATTTTGGAGGCAACTAATGCTGCAAATGAGTGGTTACACCAGCAGTCAGAAGAATTTTATTTGCAGGGATGTAAGAAGGTGCAGGACAGATGTCGCAAGTGCATTGACTTCCTGGGGGAATATGTAGAATAGTGTTGCAGTTAACAGCTTCCTAGCTCAATTTTTACTGGGAAAGGCTCAATACTTATCAGCACCCCCTTGTATCTAATCTCTCTCACATACACACTATCTCTCTCACAGGAGCTCAGGAGCTGGTAGTTTGCATGTGTTATATTCTTAGGTAGAGATTGTTCCAGAATTTGACATGTGCACACTTTTCTTTGGGCGTAGTGTGTGTGCTAATAATGGCGGGGCCTCACCTAGGTCACAAAAATACAGTATAATAATACCTCAGCATTCCTTGCTTCTGAGTGAGATTTAAGGTGTACCAAATTACCTGCTGCTGATGCTTCTTTGTCCAAGTCAGAAGTAATTCAATGGTACTTCTGGAGTGAAAGGATTAACCAACAGGATGGGGTCATTGCCCAGTCAGCTAAGCTGTTATCTGATACTTAGTAAGTATTACTAGTATTAGTAAGTAAGTAATACTTACTTATTAGTATTAGTATTAGTATTAGTATTAGTATTAGTATTAGTATTAGTATTAAGTAATACTTACTAGTAAGTAAGTAATACTAATACTTCTTACTATTAAGTAAATAATACTAATACTTAGTAAGTATTACTAGGAAGTATTAGATGTTATCTAATGTTATCTAATACTTAGTAAGACTGTTGATCCATTTCTGGACCAATGGCACTTCGAAATAGCAGCAACTCTTCATAGTCTCAGCAATTCCATATTTTACTACCATACCAATGTGATCCCCTGGAAATGGTGATGTTGGGAGTAAGTGGGACAAAACGTGACATTTTATGCATGCACAGTATATATTCCAATGCTGACTTCTGGGCCTTTCTCATTGAACCTTATAATTGTTTTGTAATTTTCTGTGGAGCCAAAGGCTTCATATCTGCTTCCAGAAGCTACCTCACACAACTTAATTGTTCACATTATAACTCCCCTGCCTCCCCATTCAGATGGTGATTTGAGGAACTGGAGTCTAGAAAAGTAACTTTTTGAAACTCTGTATGGGATTATGATCAGTATTCTGTTGAGCTGCTGTCAAGCAGAAAATCACACCAGTGACAACATGTGGGATTGCCTGTGTGACCCTATCAAATATTGGTTCAGCCCAAAAGGGTGGGACTCAGAAAGAGAGACTTTGAGTAAGAGGTTTTAATCTCAGAAAGGGTGGAAAAGCTGAAGATGCTGGAGCTGCTGTTGCCAGTTGGACTACTAAAGTCCTTTCCAATTTGGTTTAGGAATACAATGGTGCCTCGCTTGATGACGTTAATCCGTTCCAGCGAAATCGCTGTAGAGAGAAATCGTCATCAAGCAAAAGTAAAATGCCCATTAGAATGCATTAGAAACCGCTTAATGCATTCTAATGGGCGAAATACCTCATCATAAAGCAAAGATCCTCCATGGGGTGGCCATTTTCTGCTCCCTGTAGAGTGAAGAATCTGTCCCTAACACAGCGGGGAGCCATTTTGCACAGCGGGTGGCCATTTTGGAAACCCGGCGATCAGCTGTTTTGATCGTCGTTAAGCAAAAAATCGGTTCCCAAAGCAGGGAGCTGATCATCGTAAAGCGGATTTTCCCCATAGACACATCATTTTGCAATCGCAATAGCGATCACAAAAACCTCATCGTACAGCAGATTTGTCGTACAACGAGATAATCGTCAAGCGGGGCACCACTGTAATTTTTGTATGTTTGTGTTGGAGGGGTGAATCTGCATAGTGAATTCATACAATTGTACTGATATTTCATTTTAGGCTTTCGAAATCAAAAGGAGACTTCAACTTTGCAAATTCTACAAACAACTTCTGTATTGGTGCTGTTGTCAAGGATTTGGTGCATAAATTATAGTATTTTGTTGTTCATGCTGTCTGTTATATGAATGCAAATAAGAAGAAACTTATTTTGTGAAATTACATTTGCAAAATTCATCAATAGTAAGCAAATTGCCCCATAGAACTTTAGAGTGTTAGACCTGCGTGTATGGCCATTGTGCAGAAACACCAGGCACCATGAAAGAAACCCACTATTTTCAGTGGGTCCAAAGACAGCAACCAGTTTGTTAACTGGGGATGGTCACAGGGATCACATAATCCCCCTGTTATAGCAAC